TTATGAAACTTATTCTTAAGGGAGCGTTCCCAACATAATTTTTTTCATTTTCAGAACTCGAATTCGTGATTCTAATTAAAGAATGAAGCAATCTGAACTATCCAACCGCATTATATACTTAGGTCCTCACTAAGTCTCCAACATGAATTATTGGGATGTTAACATCAAGTGTCTTTCTTTAATTTCTTAACATTCATGAGGAAAGTGATCCTATCAATTTAATTTTAAAATGCTCTAATAATTGTACAATTGATTAATGTATAGGTACTTTTAGTACTTTAATGATTAATTAATTTAATAAATTAACCACTCAATTATCTAGATATTGAGCTGAGTTTATTAATTAATTGAATCTAATGCAACAACAAAGACACATTGTTTCTGAGTCTTTGGAGCTTAGTGAGCTAATTAAAATATCCTTTAAGACAACTAGAAGATATGTTCATTAAGTAAATTAATAGAAGAAGAAAACTTTTGCTTGGTTTTGTTGACCTGATACTATTAGATGGAGTCAGAATTTTCACTAAAATATGAAAAAATAAATATTCGAAGAAGTTAATGAATTCAACACTCATTAATTATTTATACAAAAAAAATATTATTTGAACATTATATAGCCCATAATATACGTAAGACAACTAGTAGTGACAGAGTCAAAAATTTTATTGAGCGGGTTTAAAATATAAATAAATAGATATGAAAAAAAGTCAAAGATGTTCAACACGAACAAAAAATAATATTTCTTCCTATAAATATATCAAAATAATTTTGACCATGTACATTTAGTCAATTACTGGAGAATATTTTACTACGTTTGGTCTATCCACTAAAGCAAAATTTTCAGATTCTTGTATTTTTAATTTGTTATTTAAACTCTAATTTTTATTTTTTTATTTATTTTGATTTGACCCATTTGTATTTTCCAGCAAAGTGTCAAATCAGACCAAAAAGAAAAGAGCAAAAGTAATAAAGAAAAAGAAACCACAGTGAAAAAACGCAGCCAATTATATCATTCCTTTTTCCTTATTTGCTCCTTAATATTGAATTATTTCTATTCGTAATAAATATTTGAGAATACGCAACATCTACAAAAGAAAGCAGTTGTATAATCTTCTTTGGTATACATATACAAAAAGATCAATTGTATAAAGTGAGAGAGACGAGTGAGAGAGCGAGATCTTGGAGAGTGGCGAGCGAGATCTGGGAGAGGGGAGAGAGGGGAACGAAAATATATGTATATATACAATTTTCTCTCGCTTTATACAAACACAAACGCATTTTATACAATTTGCGTTTTTTGTATAAAGTGAGAGAGGCGAGTGAGCGAGCGAGATCTGGGAGAGGGGAGAGAGGGGAACGAAAATATATGTATATATACAATTTTCTCTCGCTTTATACAAACACAAACGCATTTTATACAATTTGCGTTTTTTGTATAAAGTGAGAGAGGCGAGTGAGAGAGCGAGATCATGGAGAGGGGAGAGAGGGGAACGAAAATATATGTATATATACAATTTTCTCTCGTTTTATACAAACACAAACACATTTTTATACAATTTGCATTTTTTGTATTAAGTGAGAGAGGTGAGTGAGAGAGCGAGATCTGGGAGAGTGGCGAGCGAGATCTGGGAGAGGGGAGAGAGGGGAACGAAAAAATATGTATATATACAGTTTTCTCTCGCCTTATACAAACACAAACGCACTTTATACACTTGCGTTTGTATAAAAACGAGAGAGGCGAGGGAGAGAACGAGAGTGGCAAGCGAGATTCACCAGGAGAGAGGTGAAATAGCAACAGTTTGCTATGAGGTACAATTAAATCAAACTATATTTATAGCATTTAATTTGAATTAATAATTTGCTATTATATACGATTTTCCCTTTTTTTTAATAAAATAATCAAAATTATCTAATATGAATATTTTAAATTTGAATATCTAAAAAAGAATTATTGGCAAATAAAAGAGTCAGTGTATTAAATCAAATTTTTTCCAAATCTTTTCCCTATTAAATTTCTAGATTCTTTGCCGTCTTTGACTTCAGGCTAAATTTAATTGGTTTTTGCTGTGAATTAAAGTAGTTTTATTACTGATGGTACATATTGGTGAATATTCAAATAAAAATAGGCAATTTAATTTATATATTTGAATTGTTTATTATTTTTTTTTAAAAATATCTAAACTAGTTCTAAGTAAAGTGAATTATATTAAGATATACAACATTTTTATCATCGTAAGGCAGAAGTAAGACAATATATCATCACTCTCTCAGACTTTATTTTGTAGAATTATATTAATTATTAAGCATGTTATTATTATATTATTTTTTTCTCATTAAGATGATCAACAATTGAATAAAAACCTATAAATCTTTTTAATTCTACAACACCAAACAATTATTTGAATATTTTATTATTTCATTTAGGCACTTGATAAATTAAAAAGTGGATAATATAGAAGAATATACATGGTTTAACTTTTGGAGAACATTAAGGTGCTCTTTTTTAAAACTCCAATATCCACGTTCAATTAAATTGGAATTTGCATCGAGAAATTTCACATTGAGGAATAAAATAATCCCTAACAAAGCGACTTCATACACAACTCGAGGTCGAGACCTCTGGTTAAGGTTGTTAGTGATTTTATATTTTTACTAAAACATAGTTCTCACTTCTTCTTCTTCTTTTTAAATTTAAAAAATAAGAGTCAATACCAAATATAATTTTAGTAATTAAATTGTGTATTTAAAAATGAAAAGTACTTTACACAACTTAATTATCACGTTACATTAATTAATTATTGCAACTACTTTTTTTAATATGACCTACATGAAATGCTTCTTTTAACACCAACTGACAAATAAACATTTACACCACCAAACAACATAAAACTTGAAGACATTCGTACTATGATGTGATTCGAACATTTCTTTTTTAAAAAAAATCTTGATTTTTTTTATTGTTTTCCACCTAATGTTAAAATTTCTATTGGGGTTCGATTTAATTTGAATTCACGTATTATAGCTAGATGCAAGTTTCGGTTTGATTTCTCCTCCAATCCAGCTTATATGATAATGTTTGACTCAATATTATATTTTAAAATAAAATAAAATTATTGTCTTGCAAATGCCATGACATTTATCTGTTTATAAAAGTATGACATTAGAACAAGTTTAAAATTAATTTACTTTTAAATATAAAAAAGTCATATAAAATAAGATCGAGAAAAAAAAAGTTATTTCTTTCTTTCATGGTCCCTCATTAAAAAAAAGTAATTTGCACAATTTCGAGAAAAATATATTTGATTTAATTACTTACTTCAATCATTGAAATCAAAGCTTCGTCTATTTTTTTAGGCATTATTTAAACTATTCTTGAAGCTGGAAGACAGCTTCTAGTAATATTATATTAAACAACTTCCAAATAATTAATGTTACAAAAAAAAAAACAATTAAAGAAGTTTCCACCACAATTTCACTCATAAATAATGAGTTCTCCAATTAGGCAGGCAAAAAAAAAGTGTCCATAATTGTGTTGTTCTATATATGGGTAAAATTATTCACACTAAATAATTATAACAAATTATAATAAGTTTCCATAATTAAATGATCAAATAAGGTGAGAATATGTGATATTTGGCCATTTTTAGTGAAAAATAAAGTGTATATGTCAAATACGTCACGCATAAAAGTAAATTTAGGATTTACACATTATGAATTTGATAGAATTCTGAATTCAGCCACAATCATTACATGTATGAAATTTATCGTTAGTATTTATTTAGTTGATTTTGTAACTCATATACATGATCGAAATCAGAATTATTAAGTTCACACCCTTTTATATCGACTCCGATCATAAATTTATGATTTTAATGTAAACGACCATCTGGATTATTAAGTGTGTGTTTTCCCATCCTTTTGTCACATCTTTTTATTTCTCTAAAATCAACTAGGCAAAGTCCTTTTCGTTAAAGAACATTTTGCACAAAAAATTAAAATACTTTCTTTATGGCATACATAAAGCGAAGAAAATCAAAGAGAGAGAAAAAATATAACATTATTTGCATTCTAATAAATTTTTTTTGGATAATAACACTTTTGATCCTTCAATCATTATTAGTAATTATAATTTTAGTCCTTATAATAAATGTCAAACCTCGCAATTAATTGTACTGTGCATTTTTAGTTTCTTTGCTTATGAATATTCAGAATTTCTCTATAATATATGACTAAAAACATCGAACCTTTTTCATTTCAAGCACATCAAACCTTTCATTTAATTGCATTGTGCTCACTTTTTTGATTTTTTGCTTATGAATATTCACAATTTTACTATAACGGTTAACCGTTTCACAACTTATTTACTCATGTCTTATATGTTAAGTTTGTACAGTAATTTGCTATTTGATAGTAATTATATAATTCTATAAATAATCAAGACATAATATATAAATGTATTTTTTAATTTGGTTTTACTTGATATTTATGCCCTTAAATTTTGAGTGTGCACAAATAAACACTCAAACTTATATAAAGTTGAACAATTAGAGACATACGTCCTTCTCTTTTTAGCATCATATATGACAATTCATGTGAGATACACTTGAACTGATTTGTTCAACATATTTTAAACATGAAGTGACCAATATATATATTTGAGGGATCAAAAGTACTATTACTCAACTATTTTTTTATATGTTTCGCAAAATAGAGATGAAAGAGGGTAGGAAGATACCCCAAAATTCTGGAGAACTTGCCACAATCTTGGACTGATTTAATTTAATCACTTTACAACCTTTTATTTAAAATAATAAAATAAAATATTATTGTACCCACTCACTATCATTGAAAGAGAGTGCAATAATAATTTGTTTTTTTTCCTCCCAAAAAAAAAATCAATATTATTTAAAAAAAAATATTTATTGTAACCTCTCACCTTCATTTTACAATCCTATATATATACCTCTTTAATCCTTTTTCTCTCTTCACAACCAAACAAACACATCTCTCTTCCTCTTCTCTTTCTCTCTCCCTCTCTCTTAGAGATCGTTCGATTTCACAGTCAGACAGACTTATATTATTATTTTCACAAACATAATCTTTTTTTGCACACTTAACCAGTCGATTTCACAGTCAGACAAATTTACATATAACAACATGGAAATCGAGCCAAGTGCACCTCAAATCGCGGGGAAAAAACTATGGAATATAGTGAGAATTATGTTCTACATGTTGAGGAAAGGCATGTTAAAGAGCAAACTCATGCAAATTACCCTTCAAGACATGTTAAAAAGAGGTAAAATCGTTGGTAAAGCTATAAGCAACCTTATGTTACATCCTCCACACTATTCATCGTCTTCATTTACGTGCAAATCAAACAACAACAACGACGTAGCAATGTCATTTATCACACGTCGTGAATACGAGTTTAGCTGCAGTAATAGTCCTAAATTTCCCCTGTATTTCGCCAATAATAAACGTAGGCGAAATCGTACGTATAAATCAGGGGAAATTGATGTTGTACAAAAAGTATTTGAAATTTTAAATACTACAAGTACAAGTTATGAAGCTGGTGGTACAACTTCTATTGCAGTTGCTTCACCTTTAGCATTACTTGGATTTGGAAAAAGTCCAAATAATGTGAGAAAATTAAGAGTTACTGATTCACCATTTCCAATAAAAGATTCAGAGGAAAATTATAATTCACAAGTTGATAAAGATGCTGAAGAATTCATTAAGAAGTTTTATAAAGATTTAAAGCAACAAAAAAAGATAGCATCTCTTGAATCTCCATCTCCATATCATGTTTATGTTAGATGAAAAATTAAAAAAAAAAGTGTAATGAATTAGTGAATTTTTTATTTCCTAAGTTTTTTTTTTTGGGACTAGGAGTTCCATGACTACCTTCATTGACATACAAAGTCAAGTTTCCAGGAGTTTTTGGTATGGAGCGCTTTATCTGACACGACTATAAGATGGATATCAGATAGCAGATGAGAAATAAAAGAAATCGAAATTATATTGCTTATGTTTTTTTTTTTTTGACTTTTTCAAAGTTTTTTTCTTTGTGTTATGAAATTGAAGGTGGGACATTAGTTTGCTTGAAGAGATGTATGTGGTTGATCCTATAATCCAAAAAAGGGCAACTCTTGTTTTTATATTATTTCTTTTGTTTTAATTTATTACATGTCTTAATTAGCTTTTTTCTTTTAAGTAATTTTTTTGGAAAGAAAATGTCATTTTTTATGTTTAATAAATTTGTAAATCCTACATTTTCATTTTATCGTTAATAACATTATCTATTCATGTTAAAGATCACAATATTAGAAAGATAATTTTGTTATGTTATACATTTAATTTTGAATTAATAAAATTCAAAAGTTCTGTTTACATTGCTAAACTTGCCCCAGTCAAACTAATAAAAAAACGGTTCATTGCATTAAATTCTCGCTATGAGTGAGACTCGGAGAAGGGTTGAACTATAAAAGTTTATTGTACACGATCTTACTCTATATATCTGCAAGAGATTATTTCCACTCGCTCAAATCTATAATCTCATGAACACATAACAACAAATTTTATCAGTTACGACCCATCAAATTAATATATATATTGAGGAATTTTCTTTTTTCGGTTAGAAGTTGAAGGTGGGACATTAGTTTTGCTTAAAGAGATGTATAATGCTTGAATTTTAACCCAACAAACGGCCAACTCTTTAATTTCCTTCTACAAATTAATTATGACATTGAACCTTTGGTTGGTATGGTGGATAGGGCTACACGTTGCTTCTTTTTTGGTGGGGGTGGGGATGGGGATGGGACACATGGCACGTGGCATTCTGAAAGCGGACATGTAAAATATATCGTTTTTTACATATCACGGTGAAGAGCCGTATAAAATATATCGTTTTTCACATATCACTTGAAATAAATATGTAAAATATATTTCTTTTTATATATAACTTAAAAATGAATACGTAAAAAATATATATAGTTTTTCACATATCATTTGAAAGCTGACTTAAAATATATCATTTTAGGCACATCACCTTAGGACGATCACTCCTTTCATCAAGAAAAGAGGGTTCTTAGCTTCTTTGTAGTTCAAATATTATTATTTTTTGGTCTAAATGATGAGCATTGTGGTAGTAAAATTTTTTTTTTTTAAAAATAGTTCTCTTAAACCTTTTCTTTTCTTAAAAGTTTTCATTTTACTTATATTATTCTTGTTTATCATCAAGTCTTTTATTTGCATTGAAGTCCTGATTAATCTATATTCATGTCAAATAAAGTTTGTTAAAGGAAAAAAGTGATTTAATATAGGACTTTTTTTCATTCTCGCACTACATAAAATCAAGTCTTTTCCGACAAAAGCAATTCGACATACCAGCACACTATTTTTTCCAATAACCACAAATCAGTCAGAAATTTATTATTTTCAACTGTTATATGTTTATTTTTCCCCTCGTAAAAATATTTTTTAATTAATAATATGATAACTCGAATCTCAAATCTTTGATTAAGGGTGAATGAATTATATCCATTTTTATCTTTGGCTTTTATATTTGTATTATTCTTGTTGGCCAAGTGAAAGATAACTTTTTGGAAAAAAATAATTAAAAGAACCTATAAGAAGAAACTATATGTTTTGGAATTAATCATTATCTTTTCTTTTTTTTTTGGAAACTTTATTGATTTTTTTTCTCTGTTTTTTCCATTCGTAACGGTCTATTAATGATTAATTTGTGCCTATTGTGGTAGTCAATTTGAGTAGCTAGAAGGTCACCTGTCAAACATAGAAAAGCAAAGACGTTATAATAATAATATTAATTATAGCATTTATGATGATTAATATACACTAAGCTTTTGAATAAGTCATAAGTTATAATATATGATGGATACGTTTTAGGTGTGAATTTCAATTAACAAATAGTTATTGGTGTTTTAAGAGAGAAATCGTTTCCATTTAAGCCAATTTTACATAAATTAATTATCTCATTAATTAGATATAAAGTGTCACATATAACTGTTAATTAAAATAAATTTTAACACTCTTTTAGTTTGTGGTTTAATCCTTGAATAAATGATCATTCAAGTTATATATTTAAGAATTAGGTTGATGACCATCAAATTAAAGATTATAATGAAACAATCTTTTTAATTATCTTTTATCAGATATTTCGATATTCGAGCTATGTAAAATAGTAGCTTTTGGTAGGGAAAGTTTTATTGTTAAAGTGAAATTTTCATTGCGAATCCAAATTTTACTCGATCTCGAAGTAGTTATAGGACAATGGATGGAAAAAAACATTAGGCCGGTGATATTTTTTTTATAACATTTTTTTTTACTTAGTAGTAAATCCTCTAAATAACATACAAATATTATAACATCCATAAACCTTGCATGATAATTAATTAATATAATATGTACTCCTTTTTTCTCACTTATAATAGTATGGTATTTTTGCAATAATTATCATATAGATTTAGAATATAAATAAAATTCAGAAAGTTTAAAGGAAGTGTGTCTGTGTGTATATATATATATATATATATATATTTATTTATTTTTATTTATTTTGGTAAAATTATTATAAAGTGGAAAAAATAAAGACAAGGATTTTAGATAATATTATAAAAAAATACTTTACCAAATAAAATATCGATTTAATATATATATTCATGTTTGTGGGTAAGTAATCAGATAATAATGAAGATACCTTTATTTATGTGGTAAGTAGGATACCCTTTCTTAGTGTCTTATAGGTTGTAAAAAGAATCTATTTTTGGTCCTATATATGTACAACTTTTATTACAAAAAAAAAAATGGTTTGAAAGTCATCTTCTTGGTCAGTTGTTGGTTTTTTTTTTTTTTTTTTGTGAGTCCAGCTTGTCAACATACCCACACTAATAATTTGATGAGACATTGATGGTCGAGACAGTGATGAAGTTAAAATTTTCATTGAGAGATTAAAAATATTAGATTTTCATATAGATTGGAAAATGGATTGGTGAATGGTGATGAGTGATGACGCTTATATATGGACTTGGTCAATCATTCCCGCTAGAACTAGCTTTTGGACGGTATTGAGTTGGTTCAGTTGTCACATCTTTATTATATTGTATCAAAGCCATGGGGTTCATCTCTTTTTGGGCTTCCGACCCACGTTCCAGTTAGGCCTGAACTTGAAGAATGTGCTAGAATCTTACATCGATTGAGGAATGGATTGATAATGACATTTATATAGATTTGGATAATATCTGTACAATAAACATAGGGAAAAAAAAATCAAAAAAGAAATATTTGATATATAGGATGTATTCAACATGGAGGAAAATATTTTTCTAAAAATGACTTTTCACGTGGAAGTACAGTAAATTAAACAAGTTCAACAAGTAACATTTCATATTAATGGTGTCGTTTCTACCTATCAAAACACTTCATTTTTACTCTACCCACATAGTCCCCATTCCCATAACCACACCCCAACCTCCATCCTCAACCTTCCGTAATATTTATTTAGATTATATATATATACTTGTGAGAAATTAATCCAAATTTAAGGTGAGTTCCGTGAATCAATTGGTGAAAAGAACATGAAAAACTTGTATTGAATTTGAAAATTATTTGTTTTGTGTGTTAATTGAGTATTTGACATGTTCATAGTCATTCAATTAGTGAAAGGAACATAAAATCATAATGAGGAGCAATTTTAGTTGAACATTCAGACTTAAATTCATCCACATAATGAGCAACCAATCAAAGAAAAAAGAAAGAAAGAATAAACCTATTTTTAATATATGTTTTAGTAAAAAATTAAAGGTCCTTATTTTTGGGAAGAATTAACAAGCAAAAAGTGAAACACAATTACATCTTGTTTAAGATCTCAAGATTATCTTTTTAATTTTGTTATCTTTATACCTAGTCAAATTGGGACGGCAATAATAACAACATAATGTAATCATACAGATAAAATCTGAAAAAAATATTTTGTATGCAAATTTTACTTTAATTTCATAAAGACAAAGAAACGAATTATATCTAAACACTCTCAACTCAAATAAAGTAATGTAATCAAACTAAAACACATAGATTAAAAAAGATAAAATACATATGCATGTGATGTTGAACGATTGAACTCGTGTTGTGTATTTATTTTGTGTGCAATGAAGAATGTAGGATTAATAAATTTCTGACAAGTTGCAAGAGAAAATGAGTTGCAAAAATTATAATTTATTTAAATGTCAGCCAACCAAATTTATATGTGGCTATGTGGCAATCATCAATTAATATTGAGTTGGAGGAAGGACCTTACTATTACTATTATTCACATTAAATGTGATATATATGGGGGAAATTATGTAGATAAGTAAATATATACTAGTTAATTAGCTAATATAGTTATGATTTGAATTAATTTTGGTGTGCAACTTAATTTTAGCTATAATTACGTTATCTCGGATCTCCTCTCTCTCGCCCCTCTCCTCTTTTGTTCATATACAAAAATAAATGATCAGATACAAGTTATACATACATATACAATTATATGGCAGATATACAAATACAATTAGCCTCTCTTCACTCTCTGCCCTCTCTAGCTCACCTCTCTCCTCCCTCTCCCAATTTCTCTCGCCACTCTCCTCCCTCTCCCGATCTTGCTCGCCAGATATACAATATATATATACCAGTTACATATATACAATTATCTGATAGATATACATATATGATTCGTCTCTCCACTCTCTGCTCTCTCTCGCTCGCCTCTCTCCTCCCTCTCCTAATCTCGCTCGCCTCTCTCCTCCCTCTAACATGTAGCTATAAATCGTAATTAACAAACTATAATTATGGAGCATAATTAAGTTATTTTTGAGTGGCTATAAGTGAAAATTTCCCATATATATATCTTTCAATTTTTAATAATTCTGTAAAAAGAGAAAAATTATACATGCTGACTAGAGCTGTCAAAAAGGGCTTAGCCCACGGCCGGCCCAACCCAATTCATTATTGGGTAGGGTTGAGAAAGGATTTTTCAAGCCCATTTAAAGCTATGGTCCATATAAGTCATTGACCCTTGAGACTTGATCGGGGCTTGGTAAGGGTCAGCCCATGGACGAAAACTATTTATTTAAGGGTAACTTACAGAAATCCCACTAGTGTATCAGC